TCATGCTGTGACCTTTGCCCAACCTCCCTGTCCTTAGCAGGCACACCAAAGCCTTCAGGGTGATGATGATGTGTGGTCCTTAAAATGTAGCCATAAACAGTTTTGTTAGTAACACTAGAACGACATGACAAGGAGGTCAACACCAAATGTGATGGAACTGATTATAAAGAACCTTCCACCACAAGACCCCCAGGAGGTATGGCTGGTGCTGCCACACTTTGTCCCTTTGTCCTGACAACCATTAGTACCCGAGTTGTGAGTTAAACAAGTACTGTAACAGGTCCATGAGTGGTGAAAAGTTTGTGCAGACTGACATGTAGTCTGTCTGCTCCAACCCCACATCCCTGTGAGTAAATGACTCTATAATACAGTCTGTTATAATCTAAGGAGTTGCCTACATCACTTTTAGGTCTTAAGAACCTTCTCTTGACTGTGGTCATCCCGTCAGACAACACACCCATCATGAAAAGGCCATGGCTTCCCTCTTGGAGTTTTGACCAACACACACTCATCACCTCGTCTAGTCTCACCTCCACCCTCACATAGTAGGAATGACCACCATCATCTCAAAGGGACTCAGAGACATGGAACATCTTGAGGATAATCAGGGCAGGAGGGGCAGCAGCTGGACCAGGTCACCTCCTCCCTCTCCCTCCTGCCCTTGCCCCCAGCTCCATCCCTCATGCCTCCTCCTTCCCACACAGACCTGGGGAAGCCCGGGGCAGCAGCTGTCCCTGGCTCTCTTGGCAGCAGATGGGCACACTGTGGGGACCTCATGCCACCCACCCAGATGTCCCCCAGTCAAGAGCTGGAGAAGAAAGAGGGAGCCAGGCCCCTGAGTTGTTGTCCCAGGGAACACAGTGACTCACTCACCAGGTTGGTAAAGGGCCATCTTCCACTCTGAAAGGAAGGAGACACAGGCAAGGAAAGGTCATCATTTCTGTTCTCCCCCCACCATCCTCCTCACTGAGCCTCTTCCCTCTCCTTCCCACCAATATCTAGTTTCCTTCCTCCACAGCTCTGAGGAGGAGGCACAAAAGCTCTCAGAATGTTGGGCTTCCCTCCATCACGGTGGGTTGTGGGTGACGGGGCCAGGCTGTGCCCAGGTGTGGGCGTGTGTGGCAGTAGGTGAGGGGACGCTGGAGCTGGGAGGTCCTCTCTGGGTGTCCAGAGAGGCAGGGTGATCCTCCACAGAACATGAGCTCTGAGCAGGGTCTGATGACCCCTCACCAACACAGAAAGGGTTTAAGGGCTTTGTACACAAGTGCAGGAACCAGAGAGCATGAGTCACTCACCAGCATAGGCCTGAGACCTGTCACCTGCAAAGGAAGACAGGCAGAGTCACCTCAACCTTCATTTCAGAGTCCTTCCCTCTCTTCCTTTTGACCCCCCACCTACCTCTCCCTCTGCCTGTTCAGTTCCCTGCTCCCTCCTCCTCTTTAAAGTCACCGGCACCTAGTGACCTGCAGGCACCGAGTGGGGCTTTCCAGCTGCACCTGCAGGTCTGTCCTGTACGTGTCTGTACAGCAGTCACCTTTAACCATTGTTTCACTTTCTGAAGTTTCAGTTACCCTCTGTCACCCACAGTTGGAAAAGATTAAATGGAAAATTCCAGAAATAAGCAATTCATAAGTTTTAAATTGCACATCATTCTGAGCAGTGTGATGACACCTGTGCCATCCGTCTCTCACATGCCAACCTGAGAACCATCCCTGTGCCCAGCATGTCCACCCTGTGTCCCTCCCATGAGCCACTTAGTCACTGAGGAGCCGGCTCTGTGGTCAGATCTGCCTCAGCATCACAGGGCTTGTGTGAAAGTCCCCTGATGTTACTTAACAATGACCCATCATTGCAATGACCCATTGGGGTGTGGCAATGAGAAGCCTTCCTTTAAGTGAGAAGGAGAAACCTACTATACACAGGGTGTGGTGCTATCCGTGGGCCAGGCACCCACTGGGTCTTGGATCCCATGCACCTGGAATACGAAGTGACTGTCTTCCCTCTGTACCTGGCTAGGCTTGCTGTGTGCACATGTATATGCATATATGTGCTAGAACCCATCCTCCTTAATCTGCATGATTTCCTGCCTAAAAAGAATTGCTAGGCTTGCTGTGTGCACATGTATATGCATATATGTGCTAGAACCCATCCTCCTTAATCTGCATGATTTCCTGCCTATTTCCAAAAAGAATTGGGCGACTTAATGAGAAAATTTCAGACATTACTTTTCAGCAGTTATGACAAATCTGGGACAACTGACAGCAGCCCCTCCTTAGAAGAGAATGTTATATCTTCTTCTGGTTTCCTCTCCGCAGCCTATAGATTCTGTAGAGCAGCCAGGGAGGGAGGACTCACATCATGAATCCATCTCCCCTCTTCTTTCTGGGGTTCCCTGGACATCCGGGTGCGAGCGGCCTGGTGGAGAGAGCCTGACCCCTTTCGCCCGGGAGGAAACCCTGCCGACCTCCCCCATCAGCGTCCTCATTCCTTCCCCTGGGCGGTCAGGGGTGAGGAAGGGGCTGGACAGATCCCAGCAGAGAGTCTCAGATGTGGGTCCAGGTACTCACGTGCCAGGTACTGCTGCTTCCTCCACCCTGCAGGGGAAATGGGAGGGGTCGGTGAGGCAGGTAACCAGGGACTCCAGAACCCTCCTGGAGGGGGATTGGGACTTACTGAGCTCCTCCTGAAGCTTCTCTGGAAATAAGCAGAAAGAGAAGGTGCTGTCATGAGGTGAGAGGGGGGATCCACACAGTGGGTGGGCGGCCTGGGGCACGGAGGTCCCAACCACCTGCAGCCAGGCCTCACCTTTGACGCATCGCTCCCCCTGCTCCCGAGCCAATGCTGCTTCTTTCTCAGCTCGCTGCCTCTCCGATTCCTGGCTTAAGGCCCGGATTCTCTTCTGTTGTAGCCACCATAAGATCACCACCCCTGCCAGGAGCCCCAGCAGAGACAGAAGGGTCACCCCCACGGCCACCTGCCAGGGATGTGCACTGGAGAAGAAGGGGCCTGCGGAGAGAAAGCCTCAGCTGCTGACCTGAAGGGTCCTGGGGGCTCTCGAGAGGGGACGTGACATTTCTCTTCCCAAAGTGCCCAGAACTCTTTTCGTCACACATACTAGTATCCTAATGTCTGGCTCTCACATGGGAACAGTTAGAATATAATGTACATACAGTCATTGGTGTCTCCTCTCCTCTCCACCCCAACCCCCATTTATCAGCATCTCATCAGCGGCTTAACCTGCTGACTCAGAAGGTGACTTTGGGGCTGGAGAGCTGGGGTCACATTCTGGGTCTTCTGCCTGAGCAGCTCTGTGACCTTGAACCAATGACTTAGCCTTCTGTTCTCCGTGTCCTAATCGGCAGAGCATTAACTTAATGCTCTAAAGTCCCTGACATGATGCCAGGGCCATGCGAGAGTTTATTCATTTTAAAAAAAATAAACATCTTTGAGATCCAAGATGGCAGCCAACAGGAGGGCAGGCTGAAACATAGTGTGTGAGTGAGAGAGTGAAAGGAAAGTGTATGGACCTGTGGGGAGTGTCTGAATTTGTGAGTGAGGAACAGTTCATATTCCACAGGACTGTGCGGACTGGCGGACCAGGCTCTGTTGGCTGGGCAGCTTGTACTGCTGCTGAAATCTCTCCCGGAGTGGCTGGTTCTGTGGCAGAGACCGCACCATCTTGTAGGGAAGAGCGGCTGTGATCAAGCCCAGCCTCACCTTCAACCAGGGAGACTTTGGATTCCTCTCGGGACCCTGCAACCACAATGCTCAGGGAACAGCTGCCTCAGCTATGAACCCATGAATACCAAGACTCCAGCCTCCCTGGCCACAGGCACCAAAAAGGTTTGTTTCGGGAGAGACCGGGTGGCAGCCAAATACACACACGGGTCCTGCACCTTCTCATAGAACAGAAAGAAAGAACAGCTGAATCGAACAACACCTACCCAGAATTGGCGAATTAAACAGCTGGTGAGGCAATCCCTGGACAGAATGGTCAGAGATCACCTAGAGAGAGAAATAAGCTCTGCTTCTTCAGGTTCAGCTGGATGTTTGTTGGTTGGGTGTTGTTGTTTGCATTTTTTTAATTAGTTGTTATTTGCTATTTGCGTTCTTCTCTGGGTGTTTGCTGTTGGCATTTTTTGGATTACTTGGTGTGTGGTTTTTTTTTTTAATTTTCTCCCCATATACATATATTTTTCCCCCTACTTTTTTCGTCTCTTTCTGTTCTCTTTTACATTTTTTCCTTTTCTCAATATCATTTTTGCTCTCTTTTCTCTCCCCTAATTCTCTTTTCTCTGGTGGTCACCTTTATTTGGGGTTATTGGTATCATGAATCCATTTGTGTTTGGCGTACTGTGTCTTCTGTCTTGTCGTGCTGTTTGTGCCTTTAACTCAATGCAGGAGAGGACTACATAATTAGACACCCTGAGAGGAGTGAACATGGGGATTCAAAGAAACAGCCCTCATACAAAAGGAAAGGAGGAAGCACTGGAAAAGGAAGTAAATGAAATGGAGGCAAGTCATTTGTCAGAGAAAGAATTCAGAGTGATGGTAATAAGGACGCTGAAAAGGATGGAAGACAAATTCAACAATATGTGTAAGAATCATGAGGAAATGAAGAAGAACCAAGAAGAAATGAAGAATGACATCGCTGCAATAAAAAACACAATAGTAAGCATCAACATTAGACTAGAAGAAGCAGAGGACAGCATCAGTGAGCTAGAAGACAAGATTAAAAAAAACCAAAAACCCAAACAGAGCAGCAACTGGAAAAGAAACTTAAAAAACAGGAGGAGAGCCTAAGGGAACTTTGGGACAACAGGAAATGAAACAACATCCACATAATAGGGGTGTCAGAAGGAGAGGAAAATGACCAATGTTTAGAAAACCTGTTTCAAGAAATAATGATAGAAAACTTCTCTGATATCAGGGGGGAAAAACTCACACAAGTCTAAACAGCTCACAGAGTCCCAAACAAGATGAACCCAAACCCAAAAAGACCGACACCAAGACACATGATAATTAAATTGGCAAACACCAACAACAAAGTAAGAATCTTAAAGGCTGCCAGAGAGACTCAGAAAGTTACCTACAAGGGATCGCCTATCAGACTATCAACTGATTTCTCAACAGAAACATACCAGGCCAGAAGGGAATGGAATGAAATATACAAAGTCATGCAAAGCAAGGGTCTGAATCCAAGAATACTGTGCCCAGCAAAGCTATCAATCAAAGCTGAGGGTGAAATCAGGAGCTTCACAGACAAAAAAGAACTAAGGGATTTTATTACCATCAAACCAGCAATGCAAGACATGCTAGAGGGTCTGCTGTCAAAAGAAGAAATTGGAAGGAAAGAAGGAATACAGGCATCAAGTATAAAATGGCGACAAACAAGTACCTATCAATAATAACTTGAAATGTAAATGGATTAAATACCCCAATCAAAAGACTTAGGGTAGCTGAATGGATAAGAAAACATGACCCATATATCTGCTGTCTACAGAAGACCCACCTCAGAGCAAAGCACTCACACAGACTGATGGTGAAGGCTTATTAAAAGGATATTTAGGCGACTAGAAATGAAATAAAAAGCTAGGTTAGCAATACTTATATCTGACAAATTAGACCTCAAAGTGAAGGCTATAACAAGAGATAAGGAAGGCCATTTCACAATATTAAAGGGAGCAAGTCAACAGGAAGATATGACTCTGGTAAACACATATGCACTCAATACAGGAGCACCCAAATACATAAAAAAAAAAACAACTTCTGGAGGATATCAAGGGAGAGATTGACAGCAATACAGTCATAGTAGGGGACTTTAATACCCCACTAACACCACTGGATAAATCCTCTAAACAAAAAATCAGCAATGAAACATCAATCCTAAATGATTCAGTACATAAAATGGAATTAATTGAAATCTTCAGAACTTTTCACTCCAAAGCCACAGAATATACATTCTTCTCAAGTGCACATGGGTCATTTTCAAAGATCAACCACATATTGGGCACAGGCAAAGTCTCTTCAAATTGAAGAAGATAGAAATCATATCCAGCATCTTCTCAGATCACAATGGCAGAAAATTAGAAGTCAACTACAATAAAAACAATGAAAAAAATCAAACACCTGGAGGCTAAATAGCATGCTATTAAACACTGATTGGGTTACCAAAGAGATCAAAGAAGAAATAAAAAACATCATGGCAGCAAACGACAATGAAAACACAACAATCCAAAATCTATGTGACGCAGTGAAAGCAGGGAAGTTCATAGCTCTACAGGCCTACCTCAAAAAACAAGAAAAAATGGTAATAAATTATCTGACCCTACAACTCAGAGTTCAAAAGAGAGCAACAACAAAAGCCCAGCGTAAGCAGAAAGAAGGAAATAATAAAGATCAGTGTGGAAATAAACAACATTGAGACCAAAAAACAATACAAAAGATCAACAAAACCAAGAGCTGGTTCTTTGAAAGGATAAATGATTGATGGCTCACCAAGAAGCAAAGAGAGAGGACCCAAATAAACAAAATCAGAAATGAAAAAGGTGAAGTAACAACCATCCCACAGAAATACAAAGGATTATGAAAAAATACAATGAACAACTCTATTCCAACGAAATGGACAACCTAGACAAAATGGACATATTTTTAGAAAAATACAAGCTCCCAAAACTCAATCAAGAAGAAAAAAAACCTGAATAGGCCGATAACCACCAAAAAAATTGAAGCACTTATCAGAAATCTTCCAGCAAACAAAAGCCCTGGTCCAGACAGCTTTACAGGGGAGTTCTACCAAGCATTGAAAGAAAAACTAAAATCAATCCTCCTTAGACTATTCCAAAAAAGTCAAGAGGAAGGCACACTTCCAAGCTCTTTCTATGAAGCTAGAGTTACCCTAATTCCAAAACCAGATAAAAACACCACAAAAAAAGAGAACTACAGGCCAATATCCTTGATGAACATAGATGCTTAAATCCTCAAAAAAAGTCCAGCAAATCGGATCCAGCATTACATTAGAAAGATCATACACCATGACCAAGTGGGATTTATTCCAGGGATGCAAGGATGGTACAATATC